ACCAGATTTTTAGTTTTTTATTCCCTGCATTGTTAGGAAGAGCTTATTAATTGTAGTAGTTGTTAGTTCTAATACCATTATCTTGTTCTCTCATGATGCTTTCAGATTTTCTAAGTTTGCATTTATCTACTACCCACTCTCAGAAAATTTGTTTTTAAAGAGATTACGGTAGGCATTGTTATCTCCATTCAATAGAAAAGGGAACAGAGACTAAGATTTAAAGTGACTTCCTCAATTAACTTGGAACGTTCCTAACTCTTAGTCTCCCTTTCCATTAGATAGTGCTGTGTGTGTTGCAAACATTTTTTCCTGGTCTGTCAATTCTGATATACAAATTAAGCTGTTCACTATACATTCACTATACATTCTTAGATCAACTTGCAGTAACAATTTTTTTATGCAGTATTTCATCGTCTTTTTTTTCCTATAGTATGTGTTGCTTTTTATGTTCCTTAATTTTCTCACATAGCACCTTTTACCATTCTGAACCCTTTATTCTATTTCAAATATTTATTTTTTTCACTGCATAACTCTCTGTTAAGACTTTAACATAATGTCTTAAAGTTGTTTTTCTTCCTCTATCTCTCCATTTTTCTCTTAAAAAATGTCTTAAAAGTGACTTAAATATCATGATGATATTTTGGACAAAGAACTTTATTCCTTAGTGTTTTTTTCTCTGCACATTTAGCCTGTAGATATTGACATCTTCCTTTTACATTATTCTACCATTTACATTATTCTACCAGTGTACAAGACTGTACATGAAGGTATGTTCAGGAAAACTTGATGAACATCCGTATTTGTACATCTAATTACCATGATTTCATGCCTATAATGTGCAAATGTTCTGATGAAAAGCAGCAGCCTCGTTCCTGGTCTTATCCAAGGAACTCCAGCTATGTGCTGCCAGTGGAGTGAGGTTTCCATTCAGAGAACTCTCCCACTGTGCCCTTTTTTCTGTCTTTGCTGAAGGCCATCCCCTCCTAACTCCCCAGCTCTCTCTCTTACAGTGCCAAGTAAAGAAAGTATCTGCAACTCCAAATTAAGTAGAAATGGTACCTAAGGAAATTGTTTCAAGGATAATTGAAATAATTGAGTGTTTAATAGAGGACGATTTTTGCATTCTTGAGGGATTAAGACATAGTGGAAATGACCTGTTTCTGTGTGACTGTTTGAAGATTGAGACCTATAGCTATCAAATTTACTTGCCACCCTGTCAACTTAAACTGAAGTTCTTATGTCGCAGTCACAAAGATGAATTAGAGTTTCCTACATTCATAAAAGCAATTTATCATAAAGTGGGAAGAATAGTTTTGACAAAAAATTATGAAAGATTCTAGAAAGTGCTATGTGATGACAG